GTTTTTATAATTCAATGTCAACGGATGATTTGATTTACTTTATGTTTATAAAACCCTCATGGTTCGAAATTACTGATATACCGTATGTTCTACTCGTGACATGACCCCTCTCTCCGAGAAAACTGGACCCCAGTTTTTGAATTATCACCTATCTAAATATATCGAGGAGAACCTATACATAAAAAACTCAGATGACAAAAATCAATAAGTCTTGAAAAGTGAGTTCACACACTCAAAAGTTTAGTGTCTACAATGCACACTCACACCTTCACTAAGTCCGGCACTGGCTATTCAACTAAAGCATTTCAATCAGACTCTTCTCGGTGGGACTTCTGGCAGCTCGGGGTAGGGAATGACGATTGGGCATGGCATCCTCCAATCGTCATGGGAATTTCGGCAGGATCCTTTTGGGCTCGAAGGTATCCTTGTCCTGGGCATCGGGAAGAAATCTTTCGGGCTTTAAGATTTTCTAGACTGTCATTCGAGGTAGTTGGCAGATGAACGAAGGAGACTGCTGGCTTCTTGGGGTAGCGACTGACGACTGATGGTCAAGGCATCCTTCAATCGTCATGGGAATTTTGGCGGGATCCTTTTTGGGCTCGAAAGGTATCCTCGTCCTGGGTATAAGGGTGGAATCTTTTTGGGCTTCAAAGATTATTGGGCTTCTCTCGTTCTGGGCTGATACTTCGAAATAGGAATCCTTTGGGCTTCAAGATATCCTGGCTTCTAGTATTGGCCTGTCTCTTGAGGGTAGTTGGCAGCTGAGTGAGAAGAATTGCTAGCTATCTTGGCAGTTGCTGTGATTCCTGGTAGACGACTTGGTCCATGGAAGGAACGATGAATTCCCGTCATTCTAGTGGTTCGTCAGGCTATCCACAACTCGTGGCAACTCCTGGCATTCCTACGTTTTTCCTCTTCGTTCCTGGGCTACCCAGCAGCTACCATCGAATCATGCTGTATACAGTCATACAGTCCTTGTGTGGTCATCTGGCTGCATCCCCCTGGGTGTCTGACTTCTTGATAAATGTTGTATGCCAGTGCTCAGTGTGCGTGCATTGTTTTGTGTGAAGCCGTGAAAACATACGAAGAAAAAAAGATTGTCAATTACCTATGTTATTATTTACAGTGAAATGGGGAATCCTTCAATATCTCTAATTTGAATTACCTATACTAGAATATGATTAGCCTATTGTGAAATTTATCATACATGCCTACTTCATTCGAACTTCATGAATATGGATCCCAGTTCCTAATTCTTATTGATTTATTTTATATATTTGTTGATATTCAATTAAATCATACGTGTTTCGAGCAATCGATTATACCTACTCAAACTATTTTATTTCCAAAAAATCATGAATGAATACCTAATATTTTGAAACTTATCATAAATGTTCGATTTTCATATTAATATATCTATTAACACGTGCTTTCATGCGTTACGTCACCATTTTTCCAAATAATGATTCATTATAGTAGGCAGGTATTCACCTATAAAACCAACCATTAAATCAAAAACAAATTCCTAACATTGTATACCTCTATATATCAAATTACACTCGAGGTTCAAGTTCATGATTATTTACATTAGCGAGTTTGTCAAAATGCCTGCTATATAATTTTATCATGACTAGTAACCTAGTAAGCAATATTAGAATATGAAATTTGCTGAAAAGTTTTCGTTCATTTTTAGGGAAATTTGATAATCGTAACTACTTTCTTTAAAAATCAATTACAAAATCATGGAAAGTAGTTTCTTAATTAAAAAATTTGAAGATTGATTGAATAAACAAAAAAAATATTATAAGTTACCTACCCACTTGTATATTTCCTATTTATGTGAAATTATGAGAAATTGTTCGATAGATTTCCATTTGATTCAAAATGTCAATGGATTTGAATGCTTTTCAGTAACAAGAAATCTTTCTCAAACACGAGATTAAAATAAATTGCCAATATTGCCAATTAAAAATTAATCATATATCAACAGGTGAATTGAAAAAAATGGTTAAAAAAAAAAGAATAATCAGAGTCATGTTAAAAAACCAACGTGCCTTTTCGTTGAAAAATTTCTTAAAAAAGATTACCTATCTGATAAATATATAATCGGAATTATTACCCTGTTATTTCATACTTACATATTGATCATTTTTGACATTCCAGGTCCAATCCGTAAGATTTAAAAGAATATTCATCTGACAACTTTTGTTGGCAGCTTGAATAAACTGATGAACCGTCCGAGATTTGGTACTTTCATGTACTTCATGAACAATATTTCGACACATAGGCCTATGTGATTATTTTTTGTTCAATATGAAATATTATCAGAACTTTATTCGATTTATTTATTTATCTTTGGTGTAACCGGTTTCACAAATATATTGGCGTTAATTCTATTCGAAAAAAAATAAATCAATTCCCCTATTCACGTTGTTTCAATAAATTCAAGTAGTTACCTAGTTTAAGATAATAAAATTGAGAAATATTTTGTGATATTTTACCACTTAGACATTGATGAACTGATTGAAAATACTCCTTTTAAATACCGCATGCTCATTCCTCCAATTTTGTTAGAACTAGACCGTACATTTCTTTGTCTAACAACTCGCAAATATTTTCCATTTTCGGAAAATCATCCCCGGGGGTAAATATCATTATAATCATATTCATAATTCATAAATATACATAATCATCATATACGAGCTCATTATTCCACATTAAATCATCATTTCATGTCCTATCAATTCGAGGACAAAATATATTCAGTAAGGTTAATCCTTCATGCCTTAGTGTGGCACATCTTCCAGGATTCCCTCCTATTTTATACTGTTATAGTGCACACTTCCAACTATAACACTTCGTACTTTTTAGAATATCAACCAAACAGCTACTTCTCTGGATGTGGTTTGGCTAGGACCACGGGAGACGCTGTGATTATTCTGTACGGAAACGGTTTCCACTTGAAACCAAGTAACAATCTCTTCATTGAGAGTTTACATACATATCATTATTTTTAAGCTCAATTAATTCATTACATATCATATTTCCATAACATAATAATATCATATTTGCGTATACTTCATTTCGGGAGGAATGACAAAAAATGGTAAACGATACCAACGTTTAAGAGTATTTTCAATATTTGAAAGGTCATATATATACTGACTAAGATATTTTGAATCGAAACATTCTCAAATATTACTTGAATTATTAATTATTTGCATTCGCACTAATATTGAAATTTATTATGAATTATATCGAGCACGACGATTTGTTATTATTGTTTTCATTTCGTATTGTTATAAAACTATAGGCACGTTGTGGATGACTTATTATATTTTTACTTGATATAGGTGTTCTTGGCAATGGCATTGGAATTCTTGATTGATTTCATCAATGATAACAAAAAAATAGTGGAAATAATCTAGATTTGAGGAAAAAAAAACTGACAAGGAGGAAGAATTTCTTCCGAAATTCAGATAGAAAATTACGAGTATATAGAGAGAAAAAAAATAACAAAGTTCAGAGATAAGCTCCAAACTTTGTGAGTCTGGTCCGGTGCTTTATATCATGTCTTCGAATAGGAATGGAATGATTGTTATTCAACTTTTAAAGCTTGATGGTATTTAAAATATTGAAAAAATTTGGATTTCTGATTTAAATGACTTTCTTACTTTGTAATCACCCATAATTCATGCTGCTATACTTAATTACTTTCAAATAACCCTTTCTAGTAGTGCCTTTGTATGAAATATAAAATTGACAGAAATCGATGAATGCAAAAAAAAATTTATGAGTCCATTATGAGGAATGAGACTCAAGGAAAGAAGCTTAGGCGCCTCCACCATGTCACAACAAAGGAGTTGTTCCTGTTAAAAATGAATTAATATTTTTTACTTGGTTTTTGTATGGGTACAGATGGTTTTAGCATGCCTATCTGTGTGCACTACCAGGAACGCCCCATTTGGAGATCAAACCGAGGCAGTCCAGTTTTAGCATGCTGGACCGTTCGCAAATCCTGGCCAGATGCCCCATATAAAAACACATTTTTATATTGAATACAAAATAATGAAAACTGTCTTACACGATATGAATAGATGGTTAAGCCATCCATATCGATTTATAAGGGGTAATGCTTGGATTAATAATTCTGCGAGAGGTAATATTCAAATAGGCACTAATAGTTTAGGGGTATCTGGAAGTATGAGATTATATTCAAACATAACAATATTTATTATAGCATGAAACATTATGGGTGAAGTGATTATAAATATGAATAAACAACAATGAATATAAAGACCTAATAACAACTTACATTATAACGACCATTACGACGAGCTCTTGTCAAGTCAAGAGTAGCCCCAGACCAGACTAACTTCGGAACCCTCACATCCAATATTTATATACATCATTTTATTAGAAATGCACGTTTCTTATGAGAGCTCCTTGGTCAGTTTTTATAATTCAATGTCAACGGATGATTTGATTTACTTTATGTTTATAAAACCCTCATGGTTCGAAATTACTGATATACCGTATGTTCTACTCGTGACTCGTTTCAGCGGAAACGTTTCAGTAGAAATACATCAGAAACATTACATAACTGTGTATAAATACATCCAAATCTATTTCATGAGAGATGTTCCGCAAGATACATATATGGAACATAACAAAGCTGCATATGGATACACCCAGCTATATTTCAAGGGAAATGTTCCAAAAGAAACATTTATGGAACATAACAAAACTGCACATGAATACATTCTGTAATATTTCGATTGCAATGTTTCCGAAGAAACATTTGAGGAATATGTATAATGATATGTTCATGGAACATTTCACTTGATCATTGAAAAATAGGTAGGTAAAAATGGTACTGAAATGATATACATATATTATATATGAAATCTGTTTTTATTTTTTATTTTAAACACTATTCAGTACATTTAAAAATATAAACTCATTGTTTACAAACAAGATGTATAAAACTGAAATGATTATCAGATGGATGTAGGTGGGATGTCATCATTGTTCGTTTCCCTTTTGAACCTTAGTGCTGCCTGTCGAAACCAGGCTGCTGTGTGTTTCTCAAACTCACTATCTGATAAGTGAGGAAATCGCTTTCGTGCAGCATCTGTCAAAATATTAAAAGTGAATACCACTATCAAATCATTCTATTCTACAATAGTCATTTGTGAAAATCAAGTGCAAAAATAGTACTTGAGTATAAAAATACACTTTCATTTAATGAGGGCTAACATTATTTTTCGTCCATCAAACAGCGCCACCTAAAAATGAGGTCAGGGTTGGTAGAACTTATATGAATACACTTGTGCTTCTCGTGTCATTGGGCATTTTGCTACAATATCTTCTTCTCTGTCAATGTAAGAATTGGTCATAAAGTTTAAATTAAAAACACGTAAATAGGATCAACGAGTATTTGGATAATTTGGGGTTTTTTATTTGTTCAAATATTCTACATCATTTATTTCGAATATTTTAGATATAACAGGCCATAGCCTTTAGGGCTACAAGAAAAAATTTTTGGATTTTTGACTTTGACACTGACCTCATGTTGTAGTAGCGACAGCTGGTGAGAGTGAATATGTTAGCCCTCATTATTAGAGAGTTGGAACACAACATATTTTGTAATCATGGAAGACTCACCTTTTAGGGTTGATATTACTATCAGATTATTCAGGGGATAGTTATTTTTCCTGCCAAACCAAGAAAACTTTTTTGCCAGTTTATTGGAGAAAATTCTCATCAGGCCTCTTTTGATGATGTCATTGGAACAAATGCCTCCACCAATGAAAAACAGAGTTTCCTGAAAATAGTATTTTGTACTCGATTTTGTATATAAATGAGCATATTACAATATGCTGGGTGATTCATTAAGAATGGGAAATCTCTAAACCACAGATAGTAAACATATTGAGATTTAGCCTAACATGCCTGATGAAAATGTTCCTGGTTAAGGAGAGATTTTATTCTGAAATTTCTCAATAACTCTGTATAGGTTTCAACAGCATGAACGTTGAATCTTGTAGTTTCAGGTGATTATTGAAATGTTATATATAAGTGGAACATAAATCTTTTTAAGAGCAAATAACACGAAAACCGTTGAAGCTAGACAATTTTGGAAAAGAGTAATTTTTTTATGTAACATTCAACAAGCTTTCAGATTTTTCACTTGTTTTGATAATCATTGAATGGACAAAGAAGATATGACGTAATTTACCAAAGTAACATAGTGCCACTTGCGCCCTCTATGAGCAATCACAAAATAAGTTGCAAATTAGTATTCCTCATGTCAGAAAACATGTAACCACAAATTTCATGTACATGCTGTTAAAATTAGATTGAGAAAATTTAAAATTAAATTTCCCCCCAGAACACTATGTATCTCCTAAACCAGCAACATTCATATGAGGCAGGTTAGGCTAAATCTCAATATTTTAGTGTTTACCATTTGTAGTCCAGAGATTTCCCATTCTTAATGAATCACCCTGTATGAAACTATGAATAATGAATGTCAGTCATTCAGACTGAAATATGCTCAAAATCATCTCAAAATCATGCATTATTTCTGAAAATTTCATGAATTACATCATTTGAAATATTCTAGAAAAACATCGAGTTTGCTCCCAAAATCAAATAGATAAATATTCATTAATCATATAAATGAAAAAAAAAAATGATTTCAAACTTATACCAACTGCTTCCTAGCTGTCTCCGAATTTTCAAGAGTTTTTTCATACTTGATTAACTGTTTATGCTTCTTGAAAGCATTCTGAGGAATTGTTTCAAATGAATTGATGTTCGTTGATGCTGACACTGCTGCTGGTAGAGAAATAATGTTGGCTAAACTATTAGTATGCTGATCCAAGAGTGTCCTCAATATAACCACATGTTCATTCAACCTCTTAATGTGAACACAGCAACAATCTAAAATGTGTATACAACACTTTTCATGATTGAGAGAAATATACAGGGCGAGTAAGTTCTGGGAAGCAAGATTTGACAATTAAAAGAATATGTTTATTGAAAATGTTCCCAAAACCATAGGTAGTAAATGCTTTGTTTGTGAGATATAGGGCGTTGAAGTTGAAAATGAGGAGTATTCAGCTTCAGTTACCAAAGAAATGTTTTATTTCGAATTCAGTTTATTCTCACTTCATATACCTCCAAGTACATTTTAGGCAATAAAATGGGAAGATTTATTCAAAATGCATGACTCACCATCAGTTCCATTATTATCATCAGTCTGAAGGTGTTTTCTGAAAACTCTTGTGCTGGAAGGAGGAGGCATGATGATTTTGTCCAGCTCTAGTGTTTCCCCATCTAAAGATACTGTGAATAAAGACAATTATTCAGTAATATTTTTTTTTTCAAATAGTATAAAAATTATATACCAAGAACAGATTGATTTTCCTAAAAACTAGCAATTGAAAACATCACTAACAAAAATCATGTAGCTTTCAACTTACGTGTACTTGAAGTGGAAGCATCACTAACATCTTCTATTGCTTCACTATTTTGAAGAGAATCTTGATGGCTCCTAATTTCATTTGTAGTAAGAGTTTCTATATTCTTAGGTACCTTTGGTAAAGGTGATAAGTAGCAATCATCTTCATCTGATGATATATCACCCGATATAAAATCGGTATTCTTCACGCATTTGCGTTTCCTTGAGCCAGTCAAAATATTATCAGTGGAATCAGAAGATTCTCCACCACTACAAGACTTTTCGAAATCTTTAGCAGCATCATAGTCATCTGTAATGAATAAATAGGTATCAGTAAATACAAATATATAATATATTCATGAAAAAATATATTATGCTGGCCAAGAAAATTAAAAACAAAATTCATAAAAACATTTGCTGGCTTTTCAATTCATGTCATACCTGTCTCATGGAGTATCTTGACTTTGAATTTTTGCCATTCCTCATTGGCATCCGAGGCATTTTGGATATGTTGCCGAATTTTTTTATTAGGCCAAAAACATTCCAGCTCCTTGTTTTCACCTGTTAGGCTTGATAACCATTTTGATGGCACAGTTGAAATAGAGGAATCTTTTAAGAATAGTACCACGGTCCACTTCAAAACAAAATTATACATCATAAATACACATATAGATACAAATTATAGGTAATATATGCCAAAGTTGTATGAATAAATGAAATGTACAAGCTTTCTTACATTCTATAGGAAAGGGACAAACAACTTTATGAATATGGTGTACTCACACATCAAATAATGATTAATTGGAAATAATAGGATACATATAAATAATAAAATTCAAAGCATATTGAATATAAAATCAATCATTATCTGAATCAATAAATACATCACAAGCTATCTGAAATAGAAAAATAAAAAAATAAAAAATGAAATGAATGATGTACACTTTCATGAAAGTTGTAAGTCCCTCACTAAAATCTATGGCTTATGAGATTCTAACAACATATTTAAACAGTTTCCTTATGGAGGAGGGGAATGACAACAAAAGAAGAAGGATCAATTGGATATCTGAGACATTTCTGTTTAATTTTGATAATCGGTACTACAATATTTTCCTCAGAAATGGATTTCACAATTTTAATATTGAAAAATTGATTGGAAGAGCAAGGTGTTTCATAAAATTCCTCATCGTCTGAAAAGGTTTTGCCTTGTACAAAAATTTGTTTGGTACTGATATTTTCAAAAATGCTATTTATCAAAAATACCGAGTTATCTTCTAAAATAACACAACTGTCTTTCTTATTCAGTACAATTTGACAATTCCTAAATATTAAAGTTTTATAACAAAGTATGTGGACATCATCATTTGTGTCAACATTTTTTGCTATTTCACATTTCAGTTGAGGATATTCATGTTCGATGATATTTTGATCTTGATTTTCTTTCAATCTATTCAATAGCTGCTGGAGTGGATATCTCGAAAATTTTATAGTCTTTTTCACTTCATACAAAAAATTCTCAAATTTGAAAGCGCTAAAATTGTCTAAAACACCCCAAGATTTACTGTCATTAGAAATATGTATGAGATTATGAATATTGTGAGAGACATATTCACTTCCATAAATTCGAGCAAAATTTTGAACAAAATGAATCAGTAAACTATTGGCAAAATTATTATAAACCAAGTACAATTCCGGGGAACACAAAATTCTCATTGCACAGTGTAGAGTCATGAAATGTATATATTTTGATTTAGGTAAAATATTTTCAAAAATAATGGGTCCTAAATATAAAACAATCATTCGAAATTCAGTAGCCTTGAAGCGGTCAACGTCAATCAAATCCCTGGGTAATCTAGCAAACTCTGATGGAATATATGCCCTAAATTTCATTATTCTCAATTTGATGGACTTCATCTGTTCTTCTTCCAGTCGAATTCCCTTTCGGCCATGTACCCAAAATTTCAACAATTTTTTCATAACCCCCAAACAAATCAGATGCATGTAATCCAAGGGTACTTGGGAAACCAGACCAACATCTAGAGATTCTAGTGGGCAAATCATATTTTCTTTATGAAAAAATTCGTCAGATCTCTGTCTGAAAGTATCATCTGTTCTTAAAGGAGCAGTTGTAAGAAGGTTATGGGTGGAAACTTGACTTGGTTGGATGGTATCAACCAATCGTGGTAGATTTTTCTCTCTAGGGGTGTATACTATTCCTTCCTTCTCTTTTGACCAGCTTCAGATACTTTACATACAAATAATTTATGTTTTCGCAACATGTGGGGACTCCTTCGAAATTCTTAAGTACCCTCTGCAGATATTCACAAAATAAAAATAAACTATATATGTTTCTCGAGAGCCCTTACTTTTGACGTGTTTATTATGCTACATAAATTGCCCTATTCAAAAGATAAACTCTCGAGTTTCCTAGCCTAAACTAATACCATTTCCTTGAAATAATAAATGTCAACTAATTGATGGGCATGCAAAAGATCGCTTCTCTTAAAATTATCTACACGACGTGTGGTTTCTATTCACATCTATAGGGAAAAAGGAAGTATCTCCAATAAAAAACCCTATACCCACACAACTTTTATGCTTAAACTAACAATACCTACTTGACATATCCTGGAGTACCCCATTCAATAAGACTTATTGATGCAGAGAGTGAAACTTTTACGATAGTTTTGGAATAGGAGCTGAACCACGGGTGGTCGAGAATTATGGTCATAGGACACTATTAGCAGTTTATGATAGCTATATATTTCGAAATAGAAAAAATTAGGCATGAATTGAGTGTGGCCCTAGTTAAATTTAATGACTCTCGATTTCACTTTCAGACCGATTTCTTGAAAATGAATTCTCAGTAATTTGAAATGGAAAAGATACAACTAATTTCATTTAATCACTAAAGTCCAATGGAAATCTTTATTAAATTATGAATTGAATAATTCGCATTCTTACACAGTCAGACTGTTGAAACTCATTCTATTTTTAAAAAAATCCCCCTCTACTATACATTTTGTACAAGAGCTACTTCCTGTGTGACCCTTAATACATAATAAAAAAGATTCAGCAGGAGCATCACAAATTATTTTACTCAACTTCAAGTAAACTTTTTTATTGCCTATGTTCAAACCATAAGTTTTCAAATCATTAAATTCTTCAACAAACAACTTTAAGAAATTGTCAATGCTGTCAGGTTTTTTAAACCCATGATATGCGCCAACAATGAATGGTCTACTCAAATATTCACTTTCAGAATCTATAGACAACAAAATTGGCCAGAACTGGCTACCTGAACTTTTTGTCAAGGGCAACCCATCTATGTTCAAACTCAAGTTCAAAATTTCATTTTCCTCAACCTGGCAATGTGTATTTTCATAAATGGTTTGTATGCCATTGGCAATGCCCAAGTGGGCATAAGTGCCACTATCAAGTGGAATGATATTTTCATAGGAATGTCTTGGGGTTTTCAGGAGAGTCCTTGAATCTAATGGAAATTGGCTTGAACTTTCAAAATTGAATATTTTCAATAGTTCATTGATTGCTCCTGAAGATAATAAATTCCTATATTTGAGAATCCATCCCTTGATTTTCTGTAAAAACTCTGCAGTGTTTACTGAATGCACCTCACTAGTTTTTATAGTAGAATCAACAGGAATGTTGTTGCATGGAATAGGAATATTAAAACTAGGATATGGGATGGAAACACTATGATGGTTGCTGATTTGTATATCAGCATCCGAGTCAGCATCATTATGAATGAACTCTGTATGTTTGATATCATTGTTTGAAGAAGTTGATGCTATAATCTCATTTCTATTAGTAGTTGCCTTCCTCAAATTATTTATCACAATTCTTTCTTTTTCTATTTGTAGTCTAATAATTTTCCTCAAATGTCTCTTTGTTTTGAATATTCTCTGCCTATCCATATTTTCAATATTAACCATGCAGTGTCTGTTTCAAAGCTGAAAATGATCAGTTCTGTGATGGTCTATTTTAAATAATCCGCCATAATGTCGCGTGGTGCGGAATGCGCATGTACGAATGGTGTGGTTCGCGAGTTTCGGTTCCGTACAGGGGTAGTTAGCCGAGGTCGGCGATAGAGGACAGAGGGTGCTAGGTCCTTCGTCATTCTTTATATTAATACCGGCGGCATGTAACCCGGTCAATTATATCTTGTAACCAGTCATTGTTAATGTGTTATCGTCGATCCATAATAAATAGTATTTGTTGCCTGATTGAGCTGTATTTACCCACAAGAATAACCCACGACCTGTGATTCCTTGAGCTAGCCGAAGGAGTAGACCAGTGCATTTGGCGCCCAACGTGGGGCCAATGTGGGTAAATTAAATCATCAAAGTGAAATTCGTGGAGGAATTCAGTGAATTTAGTCATCGATGTATGGTGCAGTTGAGTGAAATTTGGGAATCGTCTGCGAGATCGCGAATGTTAGCAAGTTTCGTGAATCAAAGTGGTGAACGGCGTAAGCAGATAGCCGGTGTTTGAGCGGAAGGTAGTTTCGAGCGTTTCGAAAGACCGCCAACACGACGCAGCGTGCCAGAGCAGTAGGGCAGCGAGCGGAGTCCTCAAAAGTATCTTCCGAGGTATCTCCTAGTGAGCGAGCGGGAAGTCTGGAATGTGGTGAGAGATTTCCAGTTACCTATTACTTCGTTGGTCCAGTGATTTTTCGGATTTGAAATTAAATTTGAAAACTGGGAACTTGGGAACTAATAATAGATACTTTCAGTGATTTGGGTTAATGAAAGGGGACGTTTTGAACTTGAAAGTTATCGGGGGTTTTGTTGTGAATTTTGATCTTGAATGATTTTATTGTCAGTCATTGCGTTATTTGTATGTTGCTAGTTGTAACTGTAAACTAAAAAAAAATGTCTGAAGGTAGTAAAACCAAGAAAGGTAAAGGAGAGGGTAAAGGCAATGGTGAAAAACCGCCGGAATTAGATTTGGAAGATGTAGTTCGACATTTGTCAGTAGGGATGACGGAATTAAAAAATACTGTTGTAAATTTAGCCATGAGTATACAAGATATCCAACTTGATATCCAAGCTAAAAATGAAAAGTCTGAACATGTACAAAACAAGGTATTTCAAACAAATAATTCTCAGAGTAATATCGTTGCTCAAGAAAATTATCAATATATTTCGAATTGGAAAGAACTGGGGGGTAGTTCTTTGACATTTTATCCAGCTTCTAAAACTCATCCTATGTTTTTTCTTAAAAAACTAAATAAACATTTTGAGAACGCCGGCGTGCCGGATAATCGAAAAATCGGCTTGGCAGTGGCGTGTCTAAGGGGTTCAGCAGCAGATTGGGCTTTTTTGAAAGAATTGCCACGTGCCCTCTGTGCCAAATAAATAAAAAAACGGATGCCTCAAAGCACGAGCAATTGGTTCACTCGGCACTCAGCCGGGTATAGGGTGGGTTTCGAAATTCTATAATGTTTCTAATTAAAAAAAAATAATAAAGGGCGCCACCAACTTACTTCAGGCGAGTTTAAGTTGGAAAACTCCCTAGATATCAATAGGTTCCGTTTTCTACACCATTAACACACACGTCGCAATTATCAATCAATTGACGTTCTATTCAATTAAATAGGACTACGAATATTTCACCCAGTATAAGGAAAAATCATAT